TGAGGCCCGCGCCTCCGAAGAGGCAGGGGTGCTTCTAAGAAGCCTTCCCTCCTCCCCATGTCCCCTTGTGAGCGCTGCCAAGAGGAGCTCGCGGCGGCGCTCGAGGCCTCCTCCCAGGAGGCTGCCGCCCAGGCGGCGCTGGCCTTAGAAGAGGAAGAGATACCGATGCCGCTGCTCGTCCTGGAGAGCGCCCCCGTCACCACGGCTGGATTCTCCTCGCAGTTCTGGTCGGAGCGCACCCCTGGAGAGGGCTGGGGAGCAGCGGTATCGGTACCTTGCTACCCCCCAAGACGCTGGCGGGCGCACGACGGCCTGGAAAACGAGGACGACGGCGACGGCGGCGATGGCGTACCGCCGACGACGACGACGACGACCACGACGACGACGACGACGGCGACGACGACGATGCCGACGATGCCGACGACGACGACGACGACGACGACGACGACGACGACGACGACGACGACGACGACGACGACGAAGGCGCGCCGACGGCGTCGACAGAGGCCTCCGCCCAGGGGGCTCGCCTCCCAGGCGGCGCCACCGCGCAGAGCGCCCTTGGTTGCAATCCAGGGCCGCATCTGGGACGGAGACTTTCCCCTCCAGGGGCATCATCATCGGGGAACAGATACTCGGGGGCGGAAAAGAGGGGGGTGATGATTAGGGGGGGGGACATCATGGCGGGGGCCATGATATCTCCCAAGATTCTATGGCGCCTCTTCTTATTTCATTACGTCCCTGGCCCCCCCGCTGGGCCGCGCACATGCCGCAGGGGCATCATAATCGGGGAACAATTACTTGCATAAACAACATGTCTGCCTCCCGAACTATCGGGGTCTTAGCTGTAGTATTACACTGAAAAAACTTGGCGGAACCAACTTTGTGCAACACCAAAGAATTCATGATTAGAGATGTTCAGCTCATGTTGAGGTAAGCTTTCTCTTCGTATTTGGAGCACTTCTCCGCATGTCAAGAGCTCTATGAGGGCCCCGGCGGTAACCTGGTTGACGGTTTACCGCCGGCTCCCAGTCGGGGAACGAATATTGGCATAAACATGTTCGGAGGTCCGCGCGGATTTCTGGGATCGGCCCCCCGGTGCGGTGTTCCGACCAGTTAGGCGCGAACGGGCCCGTGTAATTTCCCCTGGCGGCTCCCACTAAGGAGGCGCACATGTCATATCTACTACATCGCCGAGCGATGCTCATGGGGTCTGAGCGTGCGGGAGTGAGTCTACGTATGAGTAAGTGTGAATGTCAGCATATGGGAATTTGAATGCGAGAGCTTGAGTGTGAGCGAATCCGAGAGTGGGTGAGCCTGCGTTTGAGCAAGGTTGAGTTTGAGTGAGTCTGAATGTAAGTGAGCCCGAGTGTGGGTGAGTCTGGGCAGGAGTCTGAATATGAGTGAGTCCGAGTGTGAGTGAGTCTCAGTATGAGTCAGGGTCTGAGTGAGTCTGAGTGTGAGTTGGTCGGAGTAAGAGTGAGCCTGAGTATGAGTGCGAGGGAGGAGGCGGGAGGGAAGGGAGGAGGAGGCAGCGGAGGCATCACATCAATGACACACCCTCAGTCTTATGATGGCAATGGTGGAAAATCGCGACAAGAGGTTTTAGGCCATGTTCGGCGTCTGGGGGCCTTTGCCGGGCCCCAGAGCTGTCAAACAACGACTCAGGACAAAGAGCCCGTCCCACTGAACGTGGCGAGACTTCCTGGAGTCTTGTGGAGAAAATCAGGGCCCCCTAGAGGGGAACTTTGAACAACCAGGGCATTGGCGCACCTGGTTAGCGATGTCCTGCTCTGGGAGGGCCCGAGAGAAAGCACAAGACATGCGCCACAGGGCGTCTCGGAACAAGCGCACGCCAGCTGGAAAGGCGAGGACGATGGCGACGACGAGGGTGACGGCGGGGATGAGCGGCGGCAATCGAGGCCTCTGCTCAGGAGGTCGCCTGCCAGGCGGCACCGCCGCGAGGATTCCGGGCGGGATCGAGGTTCGAGAGTCCAAGCGTTTTGCAAGTTTTCGCCCTCGCTGGGCATCGTGACGGCTTCTCGTCGCCGTGGCCAGACAGGTCTTTGGGTCGACCACCTCGCTGCGCTGGTTGCGAAGACACCACGAGGACGAGGACGAGCAGGGAAAGCGAGCATGCCCTTGAAGAGCAGCTTAACAGCAGGATTGCAATACTCAGCTCCGATGTCCTCCCCCCCGCGTCCTCCCCGTCCTCCCCCAGGGAGGAGGGAGGCAGAGGAGAGAGGCAGGAGGGAGGCAGGCAGGCAAGAGGGACGGGGACTGAACGAAAGCTTCCGTTCCGGGGTTTCCAGAACCCGCCTGGAACATATCCGTATCCCTATGCTGGCCAAACTTAGGGGTTCCCTTTTTTTGATGGCGAATCCCTTAGATTGTCATCGCCTTTTGGCGTGTCAATCTTAGGGTTAGGGACACGTTCGAGGCTGGTAAGGGTTTCCGGAGCCCGCCACGCTTCGCCCCCAGCTTCTCTCGTGTCCAGCGCCGGGACCTCGAAGCGGAGCGGCGCAGGCAGGCAGTACATCTCGTTATTGTCTCTCTCCTCCTCCTCCTCCTCCTCCTCCTCCTCCTCCTCCTCCTCCTCCTCCTCCCCCCTTGTTGTTCCTCCTCTCCCCTCCTCCTCCTCCTCCTCCTCCTCCTCCTCCCTCCTCCTCCTCATCCTCCTCCTCCTCCGCCCCCTCCTCCTCCTCCTTCTCCTCCTCCTCCTCCTCCTCCCATCCTCCTCCTCCTCCTCCTCCGCCTCCTCCTCCTCCTCTCCTCCTCCTCCGCCCCCTCCTCCTCCTCCTCCTCCTCCTCCTCCTCCTCCTCCTCCTCCTCCTCCTCCTCCTTCGACGCCGTGTGGCTTCGGGCTGCCCGAGGCCAGCTGGAAGCGTATGCGGGTACACCCCAGGCGGGAGGGAAGTACGACTCCGTCCTGATGGTGATCGGCATGGTCATGGCGCTGCAGATCCGTAGGGCGCACGGGCTGTCCACCCTCGTGGAGAAGGCTGACCTGAAACATGGGTACGACCTTGCTTGGCGGGATGCCGTACGAGTGCACTTGCGACGCGCCGGGTCAGGGGGCACCTCTGGCTGGTTGCTGATGCGGCCCTGGGATCCGAAACGATTTGGGTGCGTGTCGGCGGGATTGTGGGGGCTGTGGCTGTCCTTACTGAGTTCGGCGTCGCCGGGCGGGAGTGCACATGTTCAGCGCGCTGGTACGAGCATTGTTGGGCGCTTGATCCGCCGTGGCCGTTAGCGTCGGCATCGCCCCGCCGGCGGCGGCGACTCGCGCGCTCCACGAGTGCAATCAGGCCGCCCCTCCCGCGCCGGGCACGGAAATAGCTTGGGGGGCCGTTCGCGCCGAGGAGCTGCTGGTATCGATGCGGCCTGTGGTGCCCCGCTGGGGCCAGCATCTCCAGGCGCTGGGTACTTGCGCGGACAGGTGTGCCTTACTCGATGTCGTGGCCGCGCATGCGCTCCTGATCCTCCAATTCGTGGACGACTCGTTCGTATTCCAGTCGTCGTCCGCCGGGCTGGCTGCTGTCAACCGTGCCCTGACGGGGTTTTGCTTGACCTGGCGCCACCGCTTCCAAGGCTGCCGCAAGCGCCCCATGGTGCTCGCCGCAGGGGGGGGGGGCCCGGAGTCAGACAACCTTGGCACGGTGTGCGGTGTGCCGCCGGAGGTCACTCCAGTTCTCGACATGTTAGGCGTCCACATGGAGCAGGATTTCTACTTTCACGCCTTGCTCCGGCGCGCGTGCTCGCGGCTGCGCGATGGCTCGCGCAAGCTTGCGGCCGCCCTCGCGCAGCGAGGTATCGGACTACCGTACCAGGTGGCGCAGCTCCCGGCGCGGGTCGTGTCCAAGGCGTTTTACGGCGCGGAGTTGCTGGCAAGCTTCGCACCGGGGTGGCAGGCCGCGGTGACTCGTGTGAACAACACGCAGTACGAGGTCGCCAAGATGCTGCTTGGTGGGGGGGCAGGGGTGTCCCTGGGCACAGGCGGGCACGTTCGCGCGCTGGCGGAGACGCGCATGCTGACGCGGTGGGGGACTACCCTCATGCAGCGGATCGCCCTCAGTCGGGCGCGGCTGCTTGCGTTGCCGCCTGGGAGTCCCGTGGCGCAGGTGGTGGCGGGCACGCGTGCGACGACGGGTGCTACTTGGTTGGACCACGCCGCCGAGGTGACCAGGGCATTGGGCGTTACCTCTGACTTCCCTGCGGGCGCGCTTTCCGAGGTGGCCCGCGCGGACCCCGAGGCGCGCAAGCAGGCCGTGCAGCACTGGAAGCGCTCGGTGGTGTTGCCGGCGGTCCAGGCTTACGAGCAGGCGTGGTTCGTCCTGCAGCTGGGCGCTGCGGGAACTGGTGGTCTCCTACCGCTCCGGGAATCGATCCCAGTCCGTGGGCCGCTATCCGCTGGCGTACGGTGGGCGCCGTGGGGGCGGTTTATATGTGGCGTGTTTACCAGGCCTGGGCACTCGCGCGCGCGTCGGGCCGCCTTCCGGTGGAAGTGTGGCTGGCCGAGGGGGGCGCCGTGGTCCCCCGTGCGTGCCCCCTGTGAGCGCTGCTCCTGCACCGGAGGGGTGCACGCTCGTGGAGTGCCTGGGGCACTTGCTGTCTGCATGCCCTGCGGCCCTGCGGTGGCCCCCCTACGCGGGGCGTGCTCGTCCAGCGACGCGGCCCGATGGGCCCTCAGCGACGTGGAGGACATCGCCGCGCTCGCGCCGCGGGTCCGCCTGGTGGGGCTCGCCTCGCGTGCTTGGGTGCTCGGCGCGAGAGCGCAGGCCGCCGGTGCTGCGCGGGCCGCGCGGGAGGGAGGAGGCGGGTTAGGGCCGAGGCGTCTGCGCCAAGGCCCGCGCCCCTGCTGCGTCGGCCCGGAGGCCCTGAGCGGCGGCGGCGCGCGCGGCGGGGCGTGGACGGGCCTCCGGGCCCTGCTGGCAGAAATGGCCTCGCGGCAAATGGCCTCCTCCCCCTCCTCCTCCTCCTCCTCCTCCTCCCCTCATCCTCCCCCCTCCTCCCCCTCCCTCCTCCTCCTCCTCCCTCCTCCTCCTCCTCCTCCTCCTCCTCCTCCTCCTCCTCCCCCTCCTCCTCCACCTCCTCCCCCTCCTCCCCCTCCTCCTCCTCCTCCTCCTCCTCCTCATCCTCCTCCTCCTCCTCCTCCTCCTCCTCCTCTCCTCCTCCTCCTCCCCCTCCCCCCTCCTCCCCCTCCTCCCCCTCCTCCTCCTCCTCCTCCTCCTCCTCCTCCTCCTCCTCCTCCTCCTCCTCCTCCTCCTCCTCCTTCCCTTCGCTGCTCTCCTGTGCGCACGTGCTGGCAGGAGGGGCGGCCACGGTCCTCTTGTCATGCCAGTCTGAAGAGGCGGCGCGGTCGCCGGAAGCTCACCCCAGGGGTCGGGTGTTGCTAGAAGTGCCCCTGGCCCAAGGTGCCCCTAGAACTTCCACGGAGGACCCCACGGCCTCCAGAGCACCCCATCACGAGGAAGCTCACCCCAGGGGTCGGGTGTTGCTAGAAGTGCCCCTGGCCCAAGGTGCCCCCAGAACTTCCACGGAGGACCCCACGGCCTCCAGAGCACCCCACCACGAGGCCCAGAGTGCCCCAGGGGCCCCAAAGTGGCGCTAAAAGCCGGGGGCACCTTGGCCCAGGAGCACCTCTGGCAATTCCCGACAAGGGCCTGAGGAAACGAGCCATCCCCAACACAGGCGTGAGATCATCGTGGGTTGTATTGTGCGTGGGCTCGGGCCGGACGAGAGGGGGGGATAGGAAAAGGGGGGGGGTACAAAATTTGATGCGTGCAGCTGGTGTCGGCCCCACCGATGGGGGCCCATTCCTCGGTACATGGCCGCCCTCCGGCGCCGGCGCCGGGAGAATCAGCTACTCGAGCTGATTCTCAAACCCCCCCTTTGTTATCCCCCCTTTTCGCCCCGCCCGAGTGGGGAGGGTGACGGTGGGCGGGGTGGAGGCGGGAGGCGGGAAAATCAGCTACGTGAGCTGATTCTCAAACCCCCCCTTTGCTATCCCCCCCTTGCGCCCCGCCCGAGTGGGGAGAGAGGGTGACGGCGGGCGGGGGGGAGGCGGGAGGCGGGAAAATCAGCGACGTGAGCTGATTCCCAAACCCCCCCTCTCTGCTATCCCTCCCCTTTCGCCCCGCCCGAGTTGGGAGGGAGGGCGGGCGGGGGGGAGGCGGGAGGCGGAGCGGTCCCCCGCGAGGCGGCCCCGCCGGAGCAGGTGCAGGCGGCCGCCCCCGCGGCCGAGGCCGCGCCCAGGACGTGCCTTTGTCCTGCGGGGGCGCCCCCTCCCCCCCCCCCCGCAGCACCGCCTCGGCTTAAGTCGGACCTGTCCCCGGCCCCAAAAAATATCCCGGCAAAGCAACCGAACAGCGATGTGTATAAGCATATCTGGAAGCATTCCCCTTAAGACTCAGGTGAGAATCCAGTTGTAGAATTCTGCTGTTCTCGCAGTCGCAGTCGCATTCGCAATGACAGTCGCAGTGGCAACGGCCTTAGGATCCAATGGAATCCCAAGGATTCCTAGGGATTCCTAAGGGATTCCTAAGGCATCCTTAGGCATCCTTGGGAATCCATAGGAATCCTTAGGAATCCTTAGGAATCCCTAGGAATCCTGATTCCTAGGGATTCCTAAGGATTCCTAAGGATTCCTAGGGAATCCTAAGGATTCCGAAGGATTCGCCTGCCTCGGCCTCAGCCTCAGCCTGCCTCAGCCTCAGCCTGCCTCAGCCTCAGCCTCAGCCTGTCTCAGCCTCAGCCTGCCTCAGCATCAGCCTCAGCCCCAGCCTCAGCCTCAGCAGCCTGCCTCGGCTTGCCTCGGCCTCAGCCTCAGCCTGCCTCGGCCTCAGCCTCGGCCTCAGCCTCAGCCTCAGCCTGTCTCAGCCTCAGCCTCAGCCTGACTCAGCCTCAGCCTGCATCAGCCTCAGCCTCAGCCTGCCTCAGCCGCAGCTTGCCTCAGCCACAGCTTCAGCCTCAGCCTTAGCCTCAGCCTGCCTCAGCTTCAGCCTCAGTCTCAGCCTTCCTCGGCTTGCCTCAGCCTCAGCCTCAGCCTGCCTCAGCCTCAGCGTCAGCCTCTCAGCCTCAGCCTGCCTCGGCCTCAGCGTCAGCCTCTCAGCCTCAGCCTGCCTCGGCCTCAGCCTCAGCCTCAGCCCGCCTCAGCCTCAGCCTCAGCCTGCCTCAGCCTCAGCCTGCATCAGCCTCAGCCTCAGCCTGCCTCAGCCGCAGCTTGCCTCAGCCTCAGCCACTGCCTCAGCCTCAGCCTCAGCCTGCGTCAGCCTCAGCCTCAGCCTGCCTCGGCCTCAGCCTGCCTCAGCCTCAGCCTCAGCCTGCCTCGGCGTGCCTCGGCCTCAGCCTCAGCCTGCCTCGGCCTCAGCCTGCCTCGGCCTCAGCATGCCTCAGCTCGGGCATTCAAAATATGGCACAGGATTGGTGTTCTGGGAACAGGAAGATCACGAAGTGGCCCATAGTTGGCTCCGGGCAATCAAAATATGGTACAGGAATGGTGCTCCGGGAACACGAAGAACACGAAGTGGCTTACAGTTGGCTCCGGGCATTCAAAATTAGCCTGGGAATGGTGTTCTGGGAGCACGAAGAACACGAAGTGGCCTACAGTTGGCTCCGGCATTCAAAATGTGGCCTGGGAATTGTGTTCTGGGAACACGAAGAACACGAAGTGGCCTACAGTTTGCTCCGGGCATTCAAAATGTGGCCTGGGAATGGTGTTCTGGGAACACGAAGAATACGAAGTGGCCTACAGTTGGCACCGGGCATTCAAAATATGGCCTGGGAGTGGTGTTCTGGGAAGACGAAGAACACGAAGTGGCCTAGAGTTGGCTGCGGGCATTCAAAATGTTGCCTGGGAGTGGTGTTATGGGAATGGATTCCTAAGGATTCTTAAGAATTCCGATGGATTCCTAAGGATTCCTGGGGCTGCACTTTTGTCCGGCTCCTTGTCCAGATCCCGCCCAGACCCCTTGCGGCGTCAAGATGCTCTCTTTGGATCCCACTAGAAACCTATCAGCAAAAGCTGTTAGGTAGATACACCAAAAATGCCCCAACAAATGTCAAAAATATTCCCAAAAATAGTCACCAGACATTTTTTTGATATTTGTTTGCTTATTTTTTGGGTATGCTTAATTTTTCATCGAAAATCCCCCTGTAGGGGGACAGGCCCGACTTAAGCCTCGGCCCGTCTCCAGGCCCCTCTCTCGGACCGAACGGAAGGGGGGAAATAGGGAACGGGGGGGGTGCGAAATCTGCTGCGTGCAGCTGGTTTCGGCCCCGCCGCCGGGCCCATTCCTCGATGCAGTAGGGCGCCTTCCGGCGCCGGGAGGCGCCGGGAAAATCAGCTACGTGAGCTGATTCTCAAGCCCCCCCTCCCCCTTTGCTATCCCCCCTTTCGCCCGGCCCAAGACTCTGACGCCATGGTGGAGAGGGGTCCTAAGGGAAAGGCGTCCTGGAGTCTCGTGGTCCGCTTTCGCGCTCCAGGCGCACTCTCCGCGGGCTTCAGGACCGTGAAACGACGACTCGGGATGAAAAGCTGCTCCTGCGGGAAAGCCCTTGGGTTAAGTCGGGCATGCCTACAGGAGGAATGTTCAAGAATAGCCTGGGGGCGATGTTCCAAGTATTTTGAATCGCTTCGAATATTTCGTTACTGCTTTTCACTTTTCTCTACAGAATCGGCTAGTAGGAGGACCTAGCCCTTGGGCCCATGACCGGCTCCCCTCTGGACTCGTGATGTTCATGCAAACTCTTGCCCAGCTCCCAAGGCTGTGGGATCCCCGGCGCGCGTGCCACGTGCTCCACTGGGCCGAGCATCACTGCCGCTGCTGTGGCTGCTGCAGAGGGGCACGAGGCCGACCGCCAGTGGGAAAGGCCGACCACGATGGCCAGGAGCGAAGGAAGGATGCACACGTATATGAATCCTTGCTGGCTTCGAGAGTACGCATGGCGCAAATGTTCGTAGAACGCGGCCGGTCTTGCGGATCGAGGGGCCGTGTTCATGTACATAGTTGGGCGAGTACGTCTTTCGTGGGCTCCCTAGATTCGGGGGAAAACAAACCTCCCTCGCTTTTGACCACCCTCACTTCCAAGAGATACCAAACGGTGCCAAATTGCGGCCTGTACTGGTCAGGCCGCTTGACGAAGAGGCGCGTGGTATGGCTTGGTTTTGCCTGGAAGCGAAAGCGGGGGAGGTAATTCACGCTCTGATAGATGGAGGATCCGATCGAGCAGCGATTCTCGCCCAGGCGAACCGCCCGCTCCACGCCCCGCGTGTTCCCCACGGGCGTTGGGGCGGAAGCGCGGGGAAGCCAGCCTCCCCCAGGAGGGGTAGAAGCACGGAGGGACAAATCATCGTCGATTTCCCCTCAGAAAAAGATAAGAAAATATAGGAAATGGAGGGGGCGAAAGACTAAACTCCAGAACGTGTTGAAAAAGGTGGGGAATCTTGGGGCTTGTGTCTACTAAAATGCGTGTCCCTGGGCCCTTTTACTCCCCCTGGCCAGTCCTCCTCCCACTCCTCCTCCCCCTCCTGCTCCTCCTCCTCCTCGCCCCATCAGGTTCTCAAGGAGTTCCGTGCGTCAGTCATTGCCGTCATGATCGTCTGTTCTTCTGTCGCGCGGCTGATCCCTCGGCTCTCCGGTTTCACTCTCCAAGATCTTGAGGCCGAGGGCGGCCATCGACGAATTACGGGTGCGCCGTCTCCTCCGATTCCTCCTCCCGACCGAAGAAACAGGGCCTACATGACCCTCCTCCTCCTCCCCTCCTCCTCCTCCTCCTCCCTCCTCCTCTTCCCTCTTGTCCTCCTCCTTCTCGTCCTGCTCCTCCTCCTCCTCCTCCTCCTCCTCCTCCTCCTCCTCCTCCTCCCTCCTCCTCCTCCTCCCCCTCCCCCCCCCCCTCCTTGGGAGCCTGTGTGTGTGGTTGTCCACGCTCCGAGATCCGCCTCAGTTGCGCAGCACTTTGAGCGGCAGCTGGACGCCTGCCGAACTGTCCCTTTCAGAGCGGCCCGTGTGGCGGGCACGCGTGCGCTCAGGAGCTTTGTTTTGGCAGGCCAGCCACAACTGGGGGAGCTGTGGTCCTTACCCCCCTGGGGGACCCATCGACTTCGACACCCCTCTCGAGAGATCGTCGATGCGATAGGTTCCCCCAGGGGGGGAAGGACCACAGCTCCCCCAGTTGTGGCTGGTCGGTTTGGGGGCCCATCTCCACACGTGACCCCCCTGTGAGAGCCTGCCCCAAACGCGGCGCGGGCTGACCCATTCCTGGAGCCCCCGCCTCTGCGAGCGCCCGGGATGTGTTCCTGCGACGCCGTGGCGGAACGATCTATCCCGCCGGTGTTTGCCGTCTCGCACGTGGAACCGTCGCCGTGACTTGTTTGTTCGAGGCAGTGCTGCGGGCGTCAGCAGCGGACCGCACAACATTCCGCGCAGCCCGCATCCAGCCCGAGCTAGCGACAACTCGGGTTCGTTTCGTCAAATTTGGCCGTCGGGCCTCCCCCGTACGTCATCATCTCGGCCCGCACGGGCCTCATGTGCCACGAGGCTTCTTCCTTCTCCTCCTCATCCTCCTCATCCTCCTCCTGGTCACAATCATCGCCGCCCTCGCCGCGAAAACTGCAGCGCCGCTCCCAGAAAAGTGCTCCCGAAGGTCGTGAAGGTGAGCGCCTCGGCGTTGCCACGAGCAGGGGGGGAGAGGAACGGGGAGGAGACGGAGACTCGTGATCTGGATGCCTATCGCCGCTCACGCCTTGGTCCGAAGCTGGACACACGGCACCAGCAGCAACGTTCGGGGATCCGCGCACACTTCTCGGATCTACGCTGTGAACCCCCCCTCTGGCGGTGCTTCTGGCGCCGCCCCCAGCGCGCTCCGAGCACCATGGCTGGGGCACGGCGCCGATCCAACAGAAAGACGCGCGGAGCTCCGACAGTTGATGGTTAGGTACTCCAGATTTCGTAACAAAGGGAGGGGGGTCTCATTTCGGCGGGGGGTCTCTTCCAGGCTATCTTGGAGGGCCTGGGGGGTCTGGGGACGATGTTTTGGGGGGTTCTCCCACGGGGGAGGTCTGAAATGGCTTGTCTTGGAGGGTCCAGACCCCCTCCCTTCTATTACGAAATCTGGGGTATGCGATTGCTTATCCCTCTAATCGAGGTCCGCGCATTCGGTTCGGAGGAGGAAGGGGCAGCCAAGCCGTTAATTACCATCCCCTCTTTGTTCGCTTTCGTGGGCCTCTTGGGAGGCCCTCGTCGCCGCCGCTGGATTCGCTTCATCAGGAGCGAAAGAGGGACGTACATATACATGAATCCACGCTGGTTTCGAGAGTACGCATTGCGCAAATGTTCGTATAACGCGGCCGGTCTCGCGGATCGAGGGGCCGTGTTCATGTACATAGCTGGGCGCGTACGTCCTTTGTGGGCTCCCTACTTCAGAACCTTGTTCAGAAAGCACCCCGCAAGAGGTCTGGGGAGCAGCGGTATCGGCACCTTCCGGTTACCCCATTTGTGGCGGACGACCCCGATAGTCCCGATCCTTTCGATGGCCAGTCGGGGGACGACGAAGAAAAGACGACGGCGACGACGACGACGACGATGACGACGACGAAGAAAAGACGACGACGACGACGACGAGGACGACGACGAGGGCGACGACGAGGACGACGACGACGACGACGGCGTCTCACACACGCCGAAGGGTCGGCGGCTCCCTCAGCCTCATCTTCCTCTTCACCTCATTCTGTCCCTCCTCTCTGCTCGTCCCCACCCTCCCCCCTTCGGGTGTTGCCAGAGGGCGGAGCAGAGGGGGCCGCTGGATTCGCTTCATCAGGAGCGAAAGAGGGACGTACATATACATGAATCCACGCTGGTTTCGAGAGTACGCATCTCTCTGCTCGTCCCCACCCTCCCCCCTTCGGGTGTTGCCAGAGGGCGGAGCAGAGGGGGCCGGAAGGGGCACTGGTGGGCAGAGCAGGGCAGAGAAGTGGAGGCAGGAGGAGGCGCTGCCAGCACCGGTGGCCCCCCACCGTCGTTCCCCGTCCCTCGGTGTTCAGATGTTCCCCCCGTGTGCCGATCTGCGTCCCCGTCGCTTGCAGGACACGCAGCTCAAGCTTGCGTCAGTGGTTCACTTAATTCCAGCGATTGTGGGAATAACATCATCCGGAGCTCGGATAGTATCAGTAAGGGAGGTCGTTGGAGTAGTGGTAGCAGCATTCAGAGTGGCAGCAGTGGTAGTAGAAGCACCAGTATTATGAGCAGCACTTGGACGAGAGTCAGCCGTTGATATAGACGTGACCCGTGTAATTCCCAATCCGGGCTTGTTCTACGCGTCTTGTTTACTTCGTTTCTGAATAATTGGATGGCATTTCCGGGCTTTTGCCCGATGACCGCCCGACGGGGCCTCGTGGGCGCCCCGTGCGTTGGCTGGCGTTGCCCGGTGTTCGCCCTGGGACCGCCCATTGGGCGCTTCATGGGCGCCTCGTGCGCTGGCTGCTCGTCGCTGCCTCGAATGTTGGTTGTACCATGCTGTAACGTAGCTCGAGCCACACAGCTTGCACCACACAGCTTGCACCACCTAGCCTGCGCCACGTAGCCTGCATCACACAGCCTGCAACACACAGCTTGCACCACATAGCCTGCACCCCATGGCGTCCATCACATATTCCCCTTCACCCCTGTCCACTGATAACATTTGAGCTCGCAGCGCACTCGCCCATCCTAAAAGGTAATGTTCCAAGAACCCCCGTACAAAAATACAGCAAAGTCCACGCGCACACGTCGAAACCACACCAAACACAGATAGCTTTGCAAGCATTATATATATAAATGTATATAACAAAAAACGTAAAAGGCATTGATGTTCCAAGCATGTTGCTGCACACGTTCTGTCCGCGAGCACCTGCTGACACTGACGGGGAACCGTTTTCGCTTAGCAAGCTCGTCCGGGAACCATCATCATCAGAATCATCTCACCACGCGGTGCACCCGCGTTGATCTAGTATGCGCCCAGTGCACGAGCCCCTATCAAATAATACAGATTGGGCCACATGCGCCCGCCGCCACGTGCGCGTGTCGAAATCGTTCTCAAACCATAGGTCCCCTAAGCATTTCAAGAGAGCCCAGCGTTTTTCAACAGAGAGTTTGCCAGATGCCTTTGATTGTTGCGCGCGCACTTACTCGTCACCCTCACCAGTGCCATAGCATCACCGCCAGCATCGCCACCATGATCATCATCATCATCATCATCATCATCATCATCATCAGCATCAGCATCATCATCACAACTGCCTCCACCACCGACACGTAAGCATCATCATCGCCACCGTCGTGACCAGCGTCGGCGCCACCATTGGCCTTGTCGCCGTCGTCGCTATCATCGCCATCATCATCGCTAGTGTCATCAACGTTGCCGCCGTTACCAAGGTCATCATGATACCGCGCCCGCGCGAGTCATCGACCCGCACAGACGCGCCCACTCGTTGGGAAGGTTCCGCGGGTAAGCGCGATCGCGGCCGCGTCGGTTGTGCTTGACCAGCTGGCCGCTCAGCGCGCGAGCGTACGCGCGCTAGCGCAGCCGTAGAGGTGCGCCAACCATTGCTAAGTAGTCACCGCCGTCGTGGCCATATGGGTTGTTCAAAACAAGTTGCGGGTGAGAGGGAGGGATGATGGCGCGTGCAGTGGAGTTGACGACGTCAAGTTCTGCAAGGTAGATTACACTGCACAGTTTGCGCAATGTATTGCGCGCGACATGTCTTGCACCAACTGGCTTGAACCACATAGCTTGCACCACATATCTGGCACATCCCGAGTGTAATACGTGACTGTTGATGGACAGCGCGTGCAAACATGTAATTGAAAGCTCGATTCGCTATGCATTGAAGGTTGAATTGCTAACATGGCCACCATGTAATCGTGTAAATGCTAGTGCCATTACTTTTGAAAGATAGCCATAACATTCGCCAACACAGCATGTCTTGTAATAGTAGCGTAGCTGTGATCGGAGAGAAAGGGCGGCAACGGCAGTCGCGGTGGCGGTAGCAAGTCCAGTCGCAGCATCAGGAAGGCCAGAAGTAGAACATGTTGCCAGAGCGAGAGCAATATGCCGAAGCAGATTCACTTTGCAAGTGTGATAGCACATTGCGGCCGTGATCCCAAACACTAGCCGCACGCGACGCAGGGTCGCGCGGCGCATTCGCCCAAGAGCGCCCAGCGCTTGTGGCACCCCTTAGCTGTGTCGTGCAAGGGCGAGAACGCGGTGCAAATTGAACGAGCATCGATCGCAAAAGGGGTGGAGAATGGGGACGAAGTGCGGATCGGGGGCCGATCTTTGGTGCAGGATTGGTGTGGGTACACCCTCCTGGCCTGGCCAGGGTGGCAAAGTACCGATATTGAGCACAGGATCGGCTTGGCCAGAATCAGTGAGGTGGATGGTCGGCGACACCTGTGGTGGAAACTGTGGGGGGGAGACGGGAGAATCGATTGCGATCTCTGATGGCACTCGTTCAGAAAATTGCGCACATCTCGACTCAGGTGAAGAAGTTGAAGGCCACCCAAGATGCTGTCCGCCGCCTTTCCGCAGCTGAAGTGCGGTGCCCGTCGGTTGCCTCATTCGGTCGCCATGCCGATTCTCGGTTCGGCATGACTGTAGGCAGTTATTGAAGTTGGCATGAGCAAGAAAGGGCCGACTCGGCGTAGCACAGTGCAGATGTCGCCATCATCCGCCGCTCCACCCCGGCCTGCACACCTGTGCTCCACACGCTGGGAGTGGCCTCACGCGGTTGACGCCTGCTGGGGCAGCACAGTCGGGGCCCTGAAGAAGGAACCCTTTTGGTTGGGGAGGGGCTCCGCGTTCCTTGAGTGTTTCACAGCTTGCCTCAGGTTTTCCTCATGCTTTCGATCGGAAATCGAAGTCTAACTTATGGAAAAAGGGGCCTCGTTCCTTAGTTAGGGTGCCTTAGGTCAACGCCCCAACTGTAAGACACCTGCTTCCTTGGAGGGAGGGAGGGACCTGGCTTCCTGGAGGGACTTGGCATCGCTCGGACGTGTGCATGTTTCCTTCGGCGAGGACCATCGAGGAGCATCCTTGATCATTTGGCGAAAAAGCCACGCACGAAACCGACAAAAAACACAGGGAATGGACGTCCGAGCGATGGCCAGGGGAGGGAGGGAGGGAGGGAGGGAGGGGCTGGCGCCCAGCATGCCGTCCCAGCCAGCCGGGGGGCGCCCCCTGCGATCGGCCGGCGGCAGAAACTGGCCCGGGGCCCCGAGTCCCTGGGGGGGTTCCCACAAGGGGCCTCCCGAGAGGCCCGAGGCTGGCCAGGGCGGCCTGGCCTCCTCCTCCTCCTCCTCCTCCTCCTCCTCCTCCTCCTCCTCCTCCTCCTCCTCCTCCTCCTCCTCCTCCTCCTCCTCCTCCTCCTCCTCCTCCTCCTCCTCCTCCTCCTCCTAATTCCTCCTCATCCTCCTCCTCCTCCTCCTCCTCCTGCACCTCCTCCTCCTCATTCTCCTCATCCTCCTCCTCCTCCTCCTCCTCCTCCTCGTCCTCCTCCTCCTCCTCGCGAGCCGGGCCTCTCAGGCACGCCCGAGGGTGCGGTGTCTTGCTTCTGCCTGGGGCCTGGGGTGGCGGCCCGTCTTCCCATCCCACCACCAAGAGGGGGATGCGAAGTCACTGAAGACGGGGCGGGGTGGGCACGAGTGGGCATCATAGCCGGCTCAAAACCACAAGGGGCATCAAAGTTTCTGACGTCCCAATTGCCAATTCATGCGTTGCAGCATGCTCTCCCCTCGAATCGTGGAGAAAGGACGACGGGTGTGTTATTGTTGCTGCTGCGCTCGGCCTCTGGGGGCCCTTGCCGGGCCTCGGGGCCGTCAAGAAAGCGACTCGGGATGACAAGCCGGTCCCCGGGGAACGGGTCGAGTCCTCCCTAGGGATCGACGCGATGAAGAAGTCTTGAGTTCGGGGGCTTGGGCTTTGCCTCTCACTCCCCACTCCTCCCCGTCGCCTTCTCCTGCCGTCCCCCCTCCCCAGTTCTTCTGTCATCTCCGTCCCTCCCCGTTTCCCATCTTCCTTCCCTCCCCTCCCCTTCCTATATGCCTCCCTGGAGGGCGTGTACACCGCTCCTGGGCCCAGGATGGGCCTGGCCAGGAGCAGTGGAGATGTGTAGATCCTGTCGCCCTGCTCTCCCTACCAGGGGTCAGTCAATCCCCCTTTGGCCGGGCTGGGTTTGGGAGCCTCGCGTGGGGCCGATGCCCCCTCTTCCCCGCCTTGCGCCGCCGGCCTCCGTCTGGGAGCTGTTCAGGGGCTGGCTGGGCTTCGCGACAGTGCCCTGGCCGACCTGGATGCACACGCTGGTCGTTGAAAGTGAATCTTCTTGGATTCCCAGATCCCCATCCATTTCAAGAGCCTTCCTGCTTCAAGAACCGCCTTTGATGTGCTGCATTATTCTCTTGCACAGGGTGTCTAGAGCTCCGACCAATGCGTTCCGCGTCGCACACACACACACACACACACACACACACACACACACACACACACACACACACACACACACACACACACACACACACACCGCGTCCCCAGCGCCAGAGTGGGACCCCCGCGCCGTGGCTCTCTGCCCCGAGCCCCCCCGCGTCCCCAGCGCCCCAGCGGGAGCCCCGCCCACTGCCCCCTCCGCCACGAACGTTTATTCCGCGTCGCACCCCCCCCCCCCGCGTCCCCAGCCCAGAGTGGGACCCCCGCGCCGTGGCTCTCTGCCCCGAGCCCCCCCGCGTCCCCAGCGCCCCAGCGGGGGCCCCGCCCACTGCCCCCTCCGCCACGAACGCTTTATTCCGCGACGCACCCCCCCCCCCCGCGTCCCCAGCCACAGAGTGGGACCCCCGCGCCGTGGCTCTCTGCCCCGAGCCCTCCCGCGTCCCCAGCGCCCCAGCGGGAGCCCCGCCCACTGCCCCCTCCGCCACGAACGCTTTATTTCGCGTCGCAACGCACACCACCTCCCCCACCTCCCTCCCCGCGTCCCCAGCGCCACAGTGGGGGCTCCGCCCCGTGCCCCCTCCACCCCGATAATGTTTTTTCCGCGTCGCGACGCACACCACCTCCCCCCCTCCCCCCCGTCCCCAGCGCCCCAGGGAGCCCCGCCCTGCCCCCTCCGCCACGAACGCTTTATTTCCGTCGCGACGCACACCACCTCCCCCACCTCCGTCCCCGCGTCCCCAGCGCCCAGTGGGGCTCAGCCCCGTGCCCCTCCGCCCCGATAATCCGCGTCGCGACGCACACCACCTCCCCCCCCGTCCCCAGCGCCCCAGTTGTACCCCCGCCCCGTGGCCCTCTGCCCCAAGCCCCGCCCAGTGCCCCCTCCGCCCCGACCACTTTATTCCGCGTCGCGACGCACACCACCTCCCTCCCCCCTCCTCTCCGCGCCCTCAGCGCCCCGGTGGGGCCTCCACCCCGTGCCCCCTCCGATCCGAGCACTTTATTCCGCGTCGCGACGCACGCTACCTCCCTTTCCCCCCCTCCCCACCTGGGATTTGGGCCCCGTTGCTGGGCCCCGAGGGGCGATGTCTTGCCCCCTCTTCCCCTCTCCTCCTCTACCTCCTCCTCCTCCTCCTCCTCCTCCTCCTCCTCCTCCTCCTCCTCCTCCTCCTCCTCCTCCTCCTCATCCTCCTCCTCCTCCTCCTCCTCCTCCTCCTCCTCCTCCTCCTCCTCCTCCTCCCCGTTCCTGGTTGTGCAAGAGCCATGGCACACGTGCCACTTGTATTAATCGCTTCGCTCACTCCGCCAGCCCGTATTGTGCCATCGCAGGCGTATGCCTGCGCATTCGTGGCTTCTTGGAGGCCGTTTGGGGGCCTCTTGGAGCTTCTGTTTGGGCATCTTGGCCGTACTTCTGGGATCTCCTGGGGCGTCACGAGGCCTCTTGGAGGCCTCTTTGGAGTCTCTTGGGGCCTCTCGGGGGCCTCTTGGGGGCCTCTTGGGGGCCTCTTAGGGCCTCCAGGGGACCTCTCTGCGCCTATAGCTCGAAATGTCCGTTCGGGTCCCCCTTCTGGGCCCGCGCTTGGAGCCGTCTTGGGAGCCTCTTCGGCCATCTTGGAGGCCTCTGGGGCTGTCTTGTGGCCCTCTGGGGCCGTTTTGGGCGCTCTTGGAGGCCTCTTGGGCCGTGTTGGGGCGATCCTGGAAGCCTCTTGGGCCGCCTTGGAGCGCTGGTAAGCCGAAAAGACGATCAACAATTACAGGATTATCTGCCCTTGGGGCGTCTTGAAGACGCTTTGGGCTGTCTGGGAGCCAGATCTGGCGTCTCGTATCGCTCTTGGATCGTCTCGGACCATGTTGAGCTCTCTTGGAGGCCACTTGAAGCGCTCCTGGGAGCCTGCTGGGACCTAGCTGGGACCTGGCCTGGACCTGGCCGGGACATTGCCGGGGTTCTTTTCGTCCGGGGACCCCCGGGGCGGCTCCGCGCGCGCGAACTAGAAATATTGTTAACCAGTTACCGGAGATCTTAGCACGCCCTTGGCCCGTTGGGCCGGCGAATTCTCCGGGAGGGCTTGCAGCCAATCTGTTTCATCCGCCTTCCTACTTCATGATTTTCCCTACTTCCGACCGACGTGTACGCTGACCCAGACTAGTGCGTCCCCGATCTGCACGGGGCACGGCGCCGTCTTCACAGCGGCGAAGACCACCACCCACCAAACCACCCCAGCCCGACCCGAAGGCCCCGATTTGCCCTCCATTCCCAGTGGGGGGGTCGGGGCACATGGACAAACAAGAGCATCTGCAGCCCGTACCCCAGGCCCCAATTTGCCCTCCATTCCCAGTTGGGGGGGGGGGTCGGGGCACATTGACAAACAAGAGCATCTGAAGCCCGCACCCCAACCCGAAACTTGGGCCTTCGGGTTGGGTTGGTGTGGTCTGGGAGGCAGTCCGGAGCAGCCGTCGCAGAGCGGCAGGGGGCTGGGGGAACGGGGGCGGCTCCGCGGCCTCGTCGGGGAGGAGGAGTGGGGCAGGGGAGGAGGAGGAGGAGGAGGAGGAGGAGGAGGAGGAGGAGGACGAGGCCTCGTCGGGGAGGAGGAGGAGGAGGAGGAGGAGGAGGAGGAGGAGGAGGAGGAGGAGGAGGAGGAGGGGAGGACAAATGGGAGGACAAATGGGAGAGCAGGGCGACAAGATCTGCAGATATCCACTGCTCCTGGCCAGGTACATCCTGGGCCCAGGAGCGGTGCATGTGCCCTCCCTGGCTTGGCCAGGCAGGGCCTGGCCTAGCGTGTACACCCCTGCGTGGCTTAGCGTGTCAACGGCTTCGGTGTCGCAGGGCCCGAAATCACATACACGCTAAGATGAGGACAATGACCGCAACCGATCCCCATCCCCACTGGACCGTTGCATCTTGGCCCAGATCACCCGCCCGGGTTGGGATAGAGCCCCACGACTCCCGAGGGGCACAGCACATGCCCCCGCCCAGGGTGGTACATTGGCCAGTGGGGCCAAAGGCCATGCCAGTGGGGATGGGGATCGCTCACACGGTGCACAGATGCAGCCCCTAGAGAGCCCACTGATCCCAGGCAAGTCTGGGAAGCTACATAGCCTGGAGAGGTGCCAGCCGCGCGAAGCCGCCGCAGACGCCGCCACCGCCGCCACCGCCGCCGCCGTCGCCGCCGTCGTCGTCGTCGTCGTCGTCGTCGCTCGTCGCTCGTTGCTCGTCGCTCGTTGCTCGTCGCTCGTCGCTCGTCGCTCGTCGCTCGTCGCTCGTTGTCGTCGTCGCTCGTCGCTCGTTGTCACTGGTCGCTTGCCGCTCGCCGTCGCTCGCCGTCGCGCCATGGCCGTGCCGTCTTCGCTCGTCGTCGCGCCGTGGCCGCTCCCGCGCCCAACGCCGAGCGGAGGCCGCTACGCAGCTCGCGCCCCTGGCGGCCCCGCCCGGGAACAGCGCGGGAGCGGAGTTGGCGAGGCTACAGGCGCTGTGGCCGGCCAGGGCGGCGGGCAGGAGGAGGAGGAGCAGAAGCAGGAAGAGGAGGATGAGGAGGAGGAGGAGGAGGAGGAGGAGGAGGAGGAGGAGGGAGGAGGAGGAGAAGGAGGAGGAGAAGGAGGAGGAGGAGGAGGAGGTGGAGGACGAGGAGGGTCCGCAGCCGACTCCGGAGGAGGAGCAGGAGCAGGATGAGCCGGCGTGGCCGGAGGAGGGGGCGGCGGAGGGGAAAGGGGACAGCGGGAAGAGGATGCGGAAAGCGAGAAGGAGAAAGAGGAGGAGGAGGAGGAGATGCTGCTGCCGCCCCAGCTCCAGAGCTACCCCCACTCCTTCGGGACTCGATGGTCCCGCCGTCTACGGCTGGTGTGCCTGGGGCTTCGAGGGTCATCTGTGGGTGAGGGGTGGTCGTTCGTAATTCGGCATCTCGCCCCCCCGCGCCCACACGATCCCCAGCTGCGTGGGCAGGCTGCGAATTTGTCGCCTGTGGGTTCCAAGCGAGCGTGCGAGCGATGAGGAGGAGCTCCAATGGCAATGTGGGCTGGGGGGGGCCTAAAACCCGAGCCTCCGGCAGCGTGGACCGTTCGTGCGGGATTCGTCGGTCGCCGCCGCGGGCCTCCCGGCTCGGCCCGCCTGCGAGCTCCTGTCTCTGCGGCGGCGAGGGCCGTCGGGAGTGCGCAGCAGCAGAGCACCCTCGGGCTCCCGCCCAGTGGGCGATCGCTCGGTCGCTGGCTCCTTCGCCTTTGCAAAGAACATCTGGGCGACGGTCTGAGCGACGGCAGGAAACGGGGGCGATGGCGCCGGCATTCGCGCGCAAGTTGCCCGCGCAAGGTCGCGCGTAAGCGCCCTCGTTTCCAACGTGGCGTGCCGCGCTGGCGGCCCGCGTCAGCCACCGCGTAAGGTCGCCATGCCATCTCGCGCAATACTCGTGCAGTTTCGTCGTTCATCTGGTTCCCACGATCTTCAAGAGACTGGATTCGGACTCGGCTATGGGGCCACGAGCCGTGTGAGAGGTGTGCCGAATTGGGCGCGGTGGTGCCATGCGAACCCTCCTCCTCCTCCTCCTCCTCCTCCGCCTCCTCCACCTCCTCCTCCTTCTCCTCTCAACCGCGGGCGGCGCCACTGGGGCCTTCGGTGGAGCCGACCGCGGGGTGTGCCGAAGTGCGTGTGGGTGACGCATGCGGGCACGGCCATTGACGCAGATGGGTGCGGGGGGCGCATGCGGACGGTGGCACTGGGCCTTTCGGTGGAGCTCCATATGGGGCCACGAAACGTGTGAGGGGTGATGGTGATGATGCCGATAATGGTGACGACGATGACGATGACGACGACGACGACGATGACGATGACGATGATGATGATGATGATGATGATGATGATGATGATGATGATGATGGTGATGATGCTGATGATGATGATGCTGATGATGCTGATGCTGATGCTGATGCTGATGCTGATGCTGACGATGGTGCTGATGATGATGATGACGGTGACGATGATGATGATGACGATCATGATGCTGCTGATGATGATGATGATGATGATGATGATGATGATGATGATGGTGATGACGATGATGATGATGATGATGATGATGATGATGATGATGGTGGTGGTGGGAGTTGGGAGGAGGGGGAGGAGGAGGAAGAAGGAGAGGAGACGCGGGGCGCTGTCTCTTCAAAACGAGGACCCAACACCACAGGATGGTTGGGAATTAGTTCGACTGCGCCGACACTCGCGCGCAAGCTGCTCGCGTAAGGTCGCGCGTAAGCGCCCTCGTCTCCATTGTGACTTGCCACGCTGGCGGCCCGCGTAAGCCACCGCGCAAGGTCGCTGCGCCATCTCGCGTGAGACCCGTGTTTGATCGACACTCACCGAGTGCGAAGTCACGTCGGGGCTGCGCTCAGCTCGGTCGGCCCAGGTATCGAGCGGGACGAGGGCTGGCAGTTGTCAGTGCAGCGTGGCGTTTATATTTCTTGTTGCGCATTGAGAGTTGCGTGGCGCAAACTTGTTCAGATCCGAGACACTGCCAGGGCGTGCGGGCGGCATGACGCATTGGTTTCTACCACCTGCCGCCAATAACAGGCCGTCTTGTACTATGTCGTATAATTTGGTGTCGGCGCCGGTCGATGATTACTGAGCCAATCTAAGCTCGCCTCAGCACTAATACGCAATCCTGGGTCAAGACGCTTGTATGCAAATGTTGCATCGACAAGCCGCTTCCCGAGTGAGCCACCAACAGCGTTCGGGAGTGAGCAGGGTTAGCAAAAGGTTCAGATAGAAGAATCATTTCGGTCAGCCAAAACTATTATACAATTTGCTTGTACGTTGTACTATTTGCACCCAGCAGGGTCATACAAGATGGTGCCACGTCCACTTCAGCATCCACATCTCCGCTTAGCCTCTCCGCCCCTCTCTTTGTTGCTCCCTTCTGCTCTTCCTCCTCGTCGCCCTCCCCCGTCCCCCTGCCCCCCTCTCCACTCCTTTCCTCGGAGCGGCAGGAGCACGGGCTAGGGCAAGAGCCCAGGGCACGAGCTCAGTGCTGTCGTGTTGGTCTCGTTGTGCAGGAAGAGCGGGACGAGGACAGAACGAGGGCAATCGAGAGCACAGCGAAAGCGAAACAGATACTGCCCTGCTCCAGGGCCGGCTTGGCATGAGGCCCCGAGCCGGTGCCCTCTTCTCGTTTCCATGGGCCTGCGCCCCTCTCCGAGGCACGCGGCTCCCGGCTCCACTCCTTCCCTCCGCCCCCCAGTGACCCTCGACTGTTGCCTCTCCTCGTTTGGACGGATTCCCGTCCCGGTCAGTCCGATTTCAATCCGATGAATCATATCGAACATAATTTGCACGGCCAGATAGGGTTTTGGCACCCGCTTATGTTCCGTTGGTTGAACGGTGAGTTTTGCAACGCTGCCGTGAAATATCAGTCTTACGGCTCCAGAAAGAGGAGCGTTGAGAGAACAAAACAAAAAAAAAACCCTCGCCAGATGCACGCCGAGTGGGCTTGTCCGAGTCGTTCGGAGACTGAAGAATGCAGCTCGGGGTCCAACTAGCTCACAGTCGAGTATAGGGAAACAAACCATGGCATAAGCATCAAAACTCGGAGGTACGAGTCTTGATGTTTATGTCATTGTTTCGTCGTTCCCCTAGAGCATGCTATTGAGAGACCTCCTCCCGAGAAGCTGGGCCAGCGTTTCTTTAGCCAGCTTGCCGGGGAAAGTTGGCCCAATGTCTTGAGCACGTTCGCCCCTCCAGCAGTGACAGCAAAAGTTGGCCAAGGTCTGTCTGCAGGAACCTCCAGGAATCTGAGCCAGATTTCCTACACGATAGTTGCTGTGCTCATCTTGTCGGTCGTATGTGTGTTCGCCTCGCTCATTCCACGCCTTGGGTTTGTCCTCCTCCTCCTCCTCCTCCTCCTCCTCCTCCTCCTCCTTCTCCTGTGGTGTGCGCAGGCTCGTCGGCCTCCTGGCCCACGGGGCCGCAAGCGAGTCGACGCGAGGCTATCTCCCCACAGCTGCCTGCAGCGGCTTCCAGCCATCCTTGCAGCTGCACTTCAGGCTGAGCTGGGCATTGATCGGGGAAACGTAAGACTCGAGTAAGCCGGAACTCGGGTTTGCCGACTTTTTTTTGACGAGCGCGTCCTGGATTTTGACGGTCCCGTTTTCGTGGGATGTTTGCAGCGGGAGCCCGCGTCAAATTTCAGATTGGGCCTCGTCATCTTTATGATGGTCCCCGTCAGGCCAACCCGAGTCCCCCGTACCCGAGTCTTACGTCTCCCCGAATTGAGGCCCAAAAACTTTCTCGAAGAACAGAAAACGGCCGAGCACACAATTTCTCGGAGCTCCTCGCGGATCTCTTGGATCAGCGTTGAGGCCCCTTAGCGGCGCTCCGCGCGCAAGGGGGGGGATTCAGCGCCGATCCAAGAAGTCCGTGCGGACCCCCAGTAAATGATGCAAGCATCCGTAACGCCCGAGCATAAAGCGCCAGAGAGGTCCGCCAAAAATCACCCCCTACACCCCTCATGGGTTCCATCGTATGGCCACCTCCTCATCCCCAGATCGCTCTTCGACGACCCCCTGCTGCCCGGAAAGAGCCCCCAAAGGCGAGGCCGAAGTCGAGACAAAATTTGGCGCGCCAGTTGTTCGTTCCCAAAGTGCCATCATTATCGTCAGAACCATCCCACCCTCTGAGTGGGGATGGGTGCCCCGAAAACCGAAGAAGACAAGCCCCACCTCGGATCTCGGATGGATAGGTTGTCCCGCGAGGCCAAGGTTTCCCCTGCAGGGGGGGATTGCTTGTCTCGTCCCGACGATGATGATCATAATAAAGAATAACAGCAATAATAGTATTAGCAACAGTAATAATAGTAATGATAAGAATAATAGTAATAATAAAAGTGATTGAGGGGTGGAAGGGGGAGGAGGTGGAGGAGGAGGAGGAGGAGGAGGGGGAGGACGAGAAGGAGGAGGAGGAGCAGGAGGAGCCGCAGGAGGAGCCGCAGGGGGAGCCGCAGGAGGAGCCGCAGGAGGAGGAGGAGGAGGAGGAGGAGGAGGAGGGTGATGGTGGTGTTGTTGATGATGTTGATGATTATGCTGATGATGGTGATGGTGTTCATGGTGATGGTGATGATGCTGATGATGATGATGATGATGCTGATGATGATGCTGATGCTGCTGATGGTCATGATAGAGATGGGGATGGAGATGACGATGATGGTGGATATGGTGATAAGGATTATGATGATGGTGATAACGATGATGATGTTGATGCTGATGATGTTGATGCTGATGATGATGATGCTGATGATGATGATGATGATGATGACGGTGATGATGACGATGGTGAGCATGAGTATGAGTGTGATAATGACAATGATGATGGTGAATATGGTGATTGCGATGATGATGATGATGATGATGATGATGATGATGATGATGATGATGATGATGATGATGGTGAAGATGGTGGTGGTGATGATCATGATAATGATGATAAAAACAACAACAATCATAATGATAGCAATAAAAACCATAATAATAGCAATAGCAATACGAATAATCATAATAATAATGATAAGAATAATCATAATAATAATCAGAAGAAGAATGACGATGTTGATGATGATGATGATGATGATGATGGTGATGATGATGCTGATGATGATGATGATGATGATGATGATGATGATGATGATGATGATGATGATGATGATGATGATGATGATGATGATGATGGGGGTAGTAGTGATGCTGATGCTAATGCTGATGCTGGTGCTGATGCTGATAATGATGATGCTGATGATGATGACAATGTTGATGGTGTAAACGTTTTTCTCGTCCAGATGCCCGCCCAAATCGACCGCACCGGCGGAGAGATCGTAACCGGCGGAGAGATCGTAACCCGCACGCGCTCGCGGGCCAGGTGCAGGCGTTGCAGCAGCGCGAGCGGGCCGAGAGGGTCGGCTCCTCGGGCGACAGCAGCGCCTCCCTCTGCTCGGGGGGGGGGAGGGGAGGAGGATCGAGAAGGAGGGTCGAGCATCTAGGATGAGGAGGGGGCTCGAGGAGGAGGATCGAAGATCGAGGACCAAGGAGGATCGAGGAGCCGATCGAGGATCGAGGACCAAGGAGGATCGAGGAGCCGGGTTGTGGTTACGCTGGGGTGCGGTCTGCGATCGCGGCCATTGGGGCGTAGGAGGCTGAAGCTTGAAGAGCCTCCCGTCGTGTTGCTCCACGACGCGAGGAGGCCCTCGAGTGCGACGGCGGAGGCGGCGGCGGCCCAGGTCAGCGCCGTCGCCACGCCGGCGGCCAGCGAGCAGATCCTTGCCGCCCCCGCCGCAGGCGCCCGCCAGCCACCCGCCGCCATGGCCCCCCAGGGCGGCGTGCCTCCGCGGGCTCTCTTACGGGGGTCGCCCTCTACGCCCTCGTGTCGTCGTTCTCCTCCATCTCCTCCTCCATCTCCTCCGCCTCCTCCTGCTCCTCCGCCCTCTCCTCCTCCTCCTCCTCCTCCTCCTCCTCCTCCCCCTCCTCCTCCTCCTCCTCCTCCTCCTCCTCCTCCTCCTCCTCCTCCTCCTCCTCCTCCTCCTCCTCCCTCCTCCTCCTCCTCCTCCTCCTCCTCCTCCTCCTCCTCCTCCTCCTCCTTCTTCCTCCCTCCTCCTCCTCCTCCTCCTCCTCCTCCTCCTCCTCCTCCTCCTCCTCCTCCTCCTCCTCCTCCTCCTCCTCCTCCTCCTCCGCCTCCATCTCCTCCTCCATCTCCTCCTCCATCTCCACCGCCTGCGCCTCCTCCTCCTCCTCTTCCTCCCCCTTCTCCCTCCTCCTCCTCCTCCTCCTCCTCCTCCTCCTCCTCCTCCTCTTCTTCCTCATCCATATCCTCCGCCTGACGCTGACGCAAACGCAGCTTGCAGTTGAATCCTAAGGGATGCTGCCACCCCCACCCCCCTCAGCACATAGGGGGCGGGGCCTGCTCAAACCAGTTCGTCTGTGGAGCAGAAGCACAGGGACCACGAAGGGGTCAAAGAGAACCCCCAGAGTGGCGGAGTAGCTGGCTCTCCCGGCCACCACTGGGGAAGAGGGGGAGGGGAACGACGAAACGGCCACGGCTCTATAACTAACCGCTGGAGGGGAGGGAGGAGGGGGAGGAGTTGGGAGGCTGAGGGCTGGGGCAGGTGGAAAGTTAGCTAGGTCTCCAGGCCACCCTTGGGAGGGATGGGGGAGGGGACGACCAAACAGCGACGACACCGTGGCTAACCGCTGGAGGGAGGAGGGGAAGGAGTGGGGCGGCTGAGGGCTGTGGCATGTCGTAAGCTGTAACTTGACATCACTCGGACGTGTGCATCTTTCTCGGCGGGGACCATCGAGGAGCATCCTGGATCATCTCGCGATATAACGGAAAATGCACGGGGAATGAACGTCCGAGCGGCGATGGCAGGTGTCAGAGGGTGGTTTTGGAGTGCGGCAGGCTGCCCAAAACAGGTGGCTTGAAAGCCGGACGTGGGGACCGAGAGCGACTGGTGCAGCAGCGCGCTGCAGAAAAGAGAGGGTCGAGTGGCGTGCAACAGGTACAGGAACCCTTTTCGTTGGGGAGGGGCTCCGCGTTCCTTAAGTGTTTCACAGCTTGCCTCAGGTTTTCCTGATGTTTTCGATCGGAAATCGAAGGTTAACTCATGGAAGAAAAGGGGCCTCGCTCCTTATCTTGGGCTCCTGAGGTCAAGCCCCCGACTGTATGCGGCCGAGGCGGCTGGCAGTGCGTGAGGCGAGAGCTGTCAAAAGAGCGGTGCGGCAGCTGCGGCCGCGGCCGCCCTGCCGGAAAAGCGGGGCGGCGCAGAGGGCCTCTCCCCCCCCTGCCGCCCAAGGAGGCCCCCGCCGGGCAGGCCCCGAGGGCCACCGAGGGGGCGCCCTCGCCCGCCGAGGCGGGCGGGGGGCACCACGAGGGGAGGCCTCAGCGGTCCGCTGTGACGCCCGCGCGAGCCTACTGAGCTCGCCTCTCCTCCTCCTCCTCCTCCTCCTCCTCCTCCTCCTCCTCCTCCTCCTCCTCCTCCTCCTCCTCCTCCTCCTCCTCCTCCTCCTCCTCCTCCTCCTCCTCCTCCTCCTCCTTTCCTCCTCTGTGCAAGTCCGGCTGCGCCCTGTTCTGACTGGGCTCGAAGATGCCACAAGAAAAGAGGGGAGGCCGATGGCCCCTCCAGGGGTGGCCACCGGGGGAGGCGAGGTGTGTGCCATCATCCCTCGCGGCGGCCAGCGGCAGTGCACACCCTAGTGGGCCCAGGAAACGACAGGGCCGTTTTTTACCGGTTCCGTTTTGCCGTTTTTTTGCCAGTTCCGACGCCGTTTTTTCACCGGTTCCGTCGCCGTTTTTTGACCGGTTCCGGCTCAGGTTCCAATCCTGGAGCCGTTGTGTTGCCGTTTCCGGTCGCCGTTTTTTTGCCGTTTTCATTTTCAAGGGACATTTTTTGGAAACGGTGAAACGGCCTTGCTGTTTCCGCGGCCCACAAAGGTGCACACACCTCCCCCCCCCGATGGTCAATGAGCCACCCCCGCCGAGCCCGATCCCAATCCTCCAGGCAGCGGCGGCATGGCGAGGTTGGCTGAGGGGGGACTGTGCTCTGTAAGCGGTGTGCGAGCTGAAGAGAGTGGGGTCAGGATGTGGCTGGAGGCCAAGGAAGCGGGGTGGCTGCCCCTCCCCCTGCTCCTGCAAGTGTCCCCGCCATCCCTCAGGAGGGAAAAACACACACAGACACCATTAATCGTCGACTCCCAGCGCACTATGGGAAAATATGGAAAGTGGGGGGGGGAAGACAAAACCACCGAACAGATTTGAAAACATTCTGAATCCTGACATTTGTGTGTATTTGTTTGTGTGTCCCAGGGCCCCTTCAATCCCCTCCATCCAAAGGGTTGGGGAGGGTGGAGGTTAGCGGGCCTGTACAGGGCGAGTGGGCAGGCAGGCAGATGGGGGAAGGCGAGGCGGAGTAGCGCTTGCTCAATCGATTGCTCGTGCATCCACACTGCTGGCAACAGTAGGAGGGACTGCCGCCGTACGATGTGTGTCGAACGACTGGCCATGTTGCTGCCATGGTGGAGTGGAGGAAGAGGCACTTGCCATCGCTGTCGGGCTGGCAGTGTCAGGCTGGCTGTGCGTCGTGATGTGGGGATCGTCGGCGGTGGTGCCCGCAAGCTCCCGGCCACCGCTGTCCACCCACCCATGGTGATCGAGACTGTTGCTCCCCCCCCGAGCCGAACGCCTCCGAGGCCCAGACCCCGCCAGGCACTCCGGATTCCATAATAAAGTGGGGGGGTCACATTTTGGGGGGGGGTCTGATTTGAGCTGTCTTGGAGGGCTCGGGGGGGTCTGGGCAAAGGGCCGCCCTTTCATGGATGGTCTGGGCGGGTCTAAGACTTCTCGTCTGGGAGGGTTGTGACCCCCTCCCTTTTATTACGAAATCTGGGGTACCCGTGAATCTAAGGCAAGGCAGCGCCGAGGTATCCGCACACACACACACACACACCCTGGAGGTTCGGGCGGTGGTGGCTCGATGCAGCTGCAGAAACGGATCGGTGGCCCCGCCGTGGGACACGGGGCAGATGGGTCGCTGAGATGGGTGTCGCGGTGGTCGCGCGCCGTTGCCGATTTGAGAGGAGTGCGAGGTCGGTGGAGTGCCATGCTGTGCGTGGTCCGTTGTTGTTGGTGCTGTCGGCGAGTTGGGAAACATGGAGTGCCAGTATTGAGGTGTTTGGCCGCGCCCCGCCTAGCTCTTACCCGGAAGAGGCCCGCTCTCGACCCGCCGACCAAAGAATATTGAGGTGTTTGGTGTGGGGGCAGGAGGACGCATGGGTGCCCCATCGTGGTTGGAGCAAGCACGGAAGAGAGCAGCGTGCGACGCAGAGGACGCGTCTCCATGGGCAGATCCGGTCGAAGGCGTGGGAGGTCGGTGTTCGCCTCGTTGCCTCAGGGGTCGCTTTGCGGAGCAGTTCATGCAGTGGCACTTCGTCGAGGCAGGCCCACGCCACGGGCCTGCTCGCAGCAGGGTGAGCAGGATCAGAGCTGACGACGCCCCCACACTGGCGGAAGGCTAACGGTTGTTGTGCCTCTCGCGTCGTGTGGTAGGGCCCGCTGTCAGTTCCTTTGTGCGATCGGTGGCGTACAGTCGGGGCCCTGAAGAAGGAACCCTTTTCGTTGGGGAGGGGCCCCGTGTTCCTTGATTGATTCACAGCTTGCCCTAGGTTTTCCTCAGGTTTTCGATGGGAAATCGAACCTTCACTGATGGGAAAAAGGGGCCTCGTTCCTTATTTAGGGTTCCTTAGGTCAACGTCCCGACTGTATCCGCCGTGGTGGTACCGACCAGGTAGTCACAGCTGGGGTGGACCTGTTCCTTGTGTTGGTCGTCGTTTGCGTTCATGTCGACGGCGTGGATGGCGTACAGAGCTTTGTGGGCCCTGGAAACAGCAGGGCCGTTTTTTCACCGTTTCCGAAAAAATGTCCCTTGAAAATGGAAACGGCAAAACAACGGCGACCGGAAACGGCCAAAAAACGGCTCCAGGATTGGAACCTGAGCCGGAACCGGTAAAAAACGGCGACGGAACCGGTAAAAAAACGGCGTCGGAACCGGTAAAAAAACGGCAAAACGGAACCGGTAAAAAAAGGCCTTGTCGTTTCCAGGGCCCACTAAGGTACAGAGGGTCGAGCTTGTGGTCCGTGATGGAGTAGACGATGTTAGGGTCGTTGATGTTCATCATCTGGGTCGTTCGGCCCTTGGGCCAGAGCACGTCGCACTCCACGTACGTGGACAAGCCCGCATGTCCACGCTGCAATCCCTCGCGTGAATGCTGTTGTGGTGGGTGCAGTGCGGGGCTGGTCAATGTGAGTCCTTTGCTGGTGCCGTCGGATCCCGTCATTGTAATGGTAGATGTTTCTTTGGGTGCGTTGCTCAGTATTTTACTGCTTGGTGGGGGTGTTGGGACGGCGTGAGCGGGGGCTGGTTGGGAGTTGGGTGTTTGGTCTGCTGGGCTGGAGCCTGAGCGTCATCCGTGATGGTGCCCCCGTTCGGTCCGTCGTGTGCTGTATCGTGACCGTCCGTGGTGGATGGCGTCGTAGGATGATCCAGGAGGTTGCTCAGCTGCTAGATCCTGCTCATGGCGATGCCTTTCTGGATGTCAATGGGCCTGAAAGATGTCGGGATGTTCTCTGGGTTGTGGATGGAACTGGCGTTCAAGTAGTTCAGTTCCTCGTCGAAGGCGTGCTGCATAATTGCCTTGGGGTCACCAGCGTGGGTGTGGATCTGCTGAGTGTCAATCAGCATGCGGACGTTGTTCTGGATGATGCGGTGTGCGTCCATCTGAAGGTCGCTCCTCTGGTAACTCCTTGGAGGTCGCTGACCAGGCTGACGATGTTGCCGATGAGGGTTTGCTTCTTGCTGTTGTCGGTGGTCTTGTTGTTTGGATTTTGCTGTTGAACGTCTTCGTGCACCGTCTGCAAGTTCGCTTGGTACGTGCTGTGCTTAGATGTGTTGGGTGGGGGCTTGTAGGGGGTGTTGGAGATGGCAACCGTAGGCGGTGCCTTGACGGGGATCGGTTCTCTGTCATCCAATGTAGGTGCCCTCGACTTGGGCTTGGGCGGCCTGCATGGCATCGGCCTGGTGGGGATGGCGTTGGCCAGCAGTGGTCGCTGTTCTGGCTCACGCTGTCCAAGTTGCCTGCTGTCGCTAAGTAGCTTCGCAATGTGGATCTTCGCGGCATCGTGGTCGGTGGGCTGGCCCGGTTGGGTCTCGAATGCAATTATTACTGGTGGGTGGCTGTCTGGGATGACCGGCTTGCGCTAAGCGCGGCCGCCCTCTCTGCTTGCCCGCCTTTCTCTATTTTCTTGGGCCTGCCGAGGCAGGCCACTGTCCTGGTCCTCCTCCCTCCTCCTCCTCCTCCTCCTCCTCCTCCTCCCTCTCCTCCTCCTCCTCCTCCTCCTCCTCCTCCTCCTCCTCCTCCTCCTCCTCCTCCCTCCTCCTCCTCCTCCTCCTTCTCCTCCTCCTCCTCCTCCTCCTCCCACTTGGCTTGGATCTCAGCCCTGGGAGAACGGTCATCGTATGACGTATCACATAGGCCTTTCTCGTCCTGCCAGTTCCCGCGCGCCATGACCGTGGCCGGTTTTCCAGACCTCGAGGCTAAAGTTAGTCGTTGTGGGAAGTTTCTTGGGGGTCATCTTGGTTACGGGTGCAGGTCAGCCACGTGGACTGAGTTGTGTGTACAATGTTGAGGCTGGGAGCCATTCTGTTCAGAGTCTGGGCCTCGGGCCTCATAGGTCCCTCAGCCACCATGACGTTCTTGCGTGCAGCACTCTCACATACATCTTGAGCGGAACATGTTGCAGGTCGTCATTTCTGCCCCTCGTTTCGCCCTTCCTTCCCCTTTCCTCTGCTCCCTGCGCTCCCTCGGCCTCCCCCTCCAAGGCATGTGCCTGGAGCACTGGTCGCGTCGCCTTTGTCCTTGAGGCCAAACGTTCAAAGCGTCATTTGACATCAAAGCCCTCCGAAGATGTTGTCTCTCTGGACTGCTGTGTCATTGTATAGACATCCCATCCGTTATGGATGGGACCGCAGGTTAGACACATGCTCGAACATTTGGATGCCTTGTGTAACCTCTCTGGCCTCCCTCCTGCCCCCCCCCCTGTACAATCCGAAAAAGGTTGCGGCTTTTCTGATGGCTTCTTCTAGCTACTCGTGCAGCTCCGTGTTCCTTCGCCACTTCCGAATTTTTGGTCTTGATCATCTTCTTGTGTTCTTCCCTCCTTCCTTGGTGCGTGCTCTCCTCCTTCCTCCGCGCGCGCTGCGTGCACGTCTGCCCAGTTCGGGACGGCCGCCATGCTCGAAGTGCCCCTCGAGGCGACGGTCTAAGGCACATCGTAATATGTCCCACCTTTGAACCTCTTCTTTCAGGAGGGTAACAAACACACAGACACAATGAATCGTCGACTTCCCAGGAAATGTGAGAAAATATGGGAAGTGGGCGGGAAGACAAAAACCCAGAAAATATGGGAAAATCTTGGGAATCTGTTTATTTGTGTGTATTTATTTGTGTGTCCTGGGGCCCCTTCAAATATGTCCCACCTTTGAACCTCTTCTTCTCCTCAGCCCGCTGCTCTCCGAACGTTCTCCAGCACGGAGGGTGGCGGGATCGCGCGTGCGTTCGGCGTCACCCTCCCAGGCCTTCCGAGGCCCACGCCTCTCCGCGGCTCTAGCGCTTGACGAAGATAGCGAAGCATACCACGATTTGCAGGAGGGAAAAATCACACAGACACAATTAATCCTCGATTCCCCCGAAAATATGGGAAACTATGGGCAGTGGGGGGAAGACAGAAACCCAGAAAATATGGGAAAATATGGGGAGTGTTTGTATTTGTGTGTATTTATATATATATATATATATATATATGTGTGTGTGTGTCCTTGGGCCCCTTCAAATACCCCAGCCCGGCTGCGAAGGTATGCTGAGGCTCGTGTGCGGCAGTCTGCACGCCGAGGTGATCGCATCCGAAGCCACTGCGGCCGACTGCAGAAGAGGTCAGCGATACGTTGATGGGCTCGTTTTCCACCACCACCATCATAAGCTGAGGGGGAAGGAGGTGGAGGAGGAGGAGGAGGAAGAAGAGGAGGAGGAGGAGGAGGAGGAAGAGGAGGAGGAGGAGGAGGACCTCGTACCCCTCCTACTTGTGGTGGTGGTGGTGGAAAACAGGCCCATCACATACACGCAACGAGAAGTGGCCTTCGGCCGCCGGAGGGTCCCAGGCCCTGGCCCCAGGCCGGGAGCATCCACAGTCTCGGCTTGTGCTCGAGAGGCCTACACCCTAGGCGATGCTTAAGAAAACCTAAGTTTTCGTCCAGAGACTCGATTATTCTTAACTTTTCAATGTAAATCCCAAGATTTTGATAGAAGTTCTGGGTTTTATTCAATTTCTGAGACTATGAATTTCTTAACCCATGATTTCTTAAGCATTTCGCAGGGTGTACGCCATGCCGCCGACCCCCACAAAAGTACATCGCCCAGAGTCGTGCCACCGAGCCCGGCCCGCGGGTCGGGAGCCTCGGGGATGCACAGGAGGGTCTCCCGGGATGCGCCTCGGAGGCCCCCATCGGAGGGCCCCTGGGGGCCCCTGCTTGGCTTCGGGGAGCCTCTCGGGGGGAGGCTTGGGGGCCTCTTGGGGGGCATCTTGGGCGCCTCTTGGAAGCCTGGGGGCGCCTCGGGAGCTCTCGGGGCCATCACAGCGGGAGAGACTTGGGATGTCAGTTCGTATTGCCCCTCTTGGGCCGTCTTGAGGCTCTCCTCGGGCCCTGCTGGGCCGTCTTTGGGCCTACTTGGGGGCCTCATGGTCCGTCTTGGGACGATCTTGGGGGCTCCTTGTGCCGTAGCGGACGCCATCGAGACGAAAAGTGCGTGCATGTTGAAAAAGCACGTCCTCCTGAAGGAATGAGACTAGTTGTGCCTCTTGGGGCCCTCTCGGCGGCCCTGTAGGAGCACTCTTGGGCCGTCTTGGGGACCTCGTAGGCCGTCTTGAAGCCATTTTGGACCGTCGTGGGGTTACCCTGGGCCGTCTCGGCGCTCTCTTGGATCGTCTCGCCGCTCGTGGTGGGCCGTCCTGGGGCTCCTTGGGGGCTCTGGAGAGCCTTGGAGTGCGTTGATGACATCGCCCCCCGCTGCCCTCCTCTCATGCGATGTTCGGCCCCAGGGGAGGCTGAAAGTGGGAGAGGGACAGCCCATCATCTCACACACCTTCTCACCCCCCAGCAAGCGAGTTGTGTTGGGGACCTCCATGTTTTTGACTCCGGCTAGGCCTTGCGTGGCCGGATTCTTCCACGCCTTTGACTACTTTCTCGCGTTTCGAGCGAGGGCGGCGAGGCGTCGTACAGCCTGCTCGCCTTCAACACCTACTACCCCCCCCGGCAAGCGGAGGCCGGAGGGCTTACACACATTTTTTATGATAGCGTTCCGCTTGAGCGGGATATGTTGGCGTGTGTTATGAGTTCACCTGTGGGCCTAGCTGTCCGATGTCGGGAAAGCCCTCCTGAAGGGCAGCGAACTTCATAGTCTCCACTGCTGCCTGTGTCTTCTCTCTTCGGATCGACTTTCTTCCCTTGTCCGCCCTGCCCCTCCTCGCCCCTCCTCCCACTCCCCCAGTCCCTTCCCCCCCCTTCCTCCACCCCCCCCTCCTCCTCCCCCCCATCAAATCCCTCCTCCCCCCCTCCCCCTCCCGTCCGCCCTCCTCCCCCCTCGCCCCCCCCTCCCCCTCGCCCCCCCCCCCCCCTGCTCCTCCTCGCCCTCACTCTCTCTCTCACCCCCCTCTCGAAACCGGAGGCGCCGCCCCGGCCGCCCCGCAGCCGACGGAGGATGAGAGGAGGCAGCGCGCGGAACACCTGCGCAGGACGCCCCGCCGCACCCCCCGCCGCCAGCCCCCGTGTGTGAGGCGCGAGGCCCTGGGCTGTCGGGCGTTGTCGCGGGCTCCTCCTAATGTTTGTCCTTCTCCTCCTCCTCCTCCTCCTCCTCCTCCTCCACCTCCTCCTCCTCGTCCTCCTCCTCCTCCTCTCCTCCTCCTCCGTCCCCTCCTCCTCCTCCTCCTCCTTCTCCTCCCCGTCCTCATCCTCCTTCCTCCCCTCCTCCTCTCTCCTCCTCCTCCTCCTCTTCCTCCTCTTCCTCCTCCTCCTCCTCCTCCTCCTCCTCCTCCTCCTCCTCCTCCTCCTCCTCCTCCGCCTCCGCCTCCTACTCCTCCTCCTCCTCCTCCTGTTTTTCCCCGTCCTCCTCCGGGCTTCCAGCCCCGAGAAGCCTAGAGACGAGACGAAGCCGCCATTCCCGGCCGTTCCCGCCCCGAGGCGCGGCCTTCCCAGGAGCAGGCGGGAGGGGCCGTTGCCCCGAGAGGCTCCGAATCCACGGTGTTGCCGTTGAGCGAATGCCATGCTCAGCTGGGGCAGTATGACATGCCACACGCCACGGCTTACCTGACATGTCACGCCGTATGTGGCTTTGCCAGCAGAAGCCGACAGACTGACATGTGACGCCATATTTGGCTTCGCTTGCAGGAGCCGCCAAACTGACATGTCACGCCATATTTGGCTTTGCCAGCAGAAGCCGACAGACTGACATGTCACGCCATATTTGGCTTCGCATGCAGAAGCCGCCAGGAGGAGCTGGTTTGCTAAGTGGGTCGCCGATACCATCGTGATGCGTGCCGCGGACCTTGTGTCAAAAGCCCGACCTGCGTGAAGTTCCGTCCGTGCCACTTTCGCTCGTGCTGTCTCGCCGGCACCCCGGGACCGCGGGCCGCCTGATCCCAGACTTTCGGCGACGCTCCCGGCTCTCGGGCGTGGTCGTGGCTTCTTGCAGGTTTTCTCACCCCAAAAGGCTCTCTCCTCCTCCTCCTCCTGCTCCTCCGCCTCCTCCTCCTGGCGGGCCCGCATTGTTCAGAGGTTGCTGCGGGCGGCGCAGGGAGAGACGCCCGTGGCGGAATTGGGCCAGGCCCAAGCGCCAGGCCTGCATGGCGGAGGGGCCCCGCGAGGGCCGAGGGCTGTACCCCAAGCGAGGGTGAGGGCCCCAGGGACTCAGGCCGACTGCTAAGCTAGTGATTGGCCCGAGTTCCCTCTTTCCTCGGCGCAGCAGGGGTCCGTGCTTGGACTCTTGCTCGACGGCATTCCCATTCCCTCCTCCTCCTCCTCCTCCTCCTCCTCCGCCTCCTCCTCCTCCTCCTCCTCCTCCTCCTCCTCCTCCTACTCCTCCTCTTCCTTATTCTCGTCGAGAGCGCTCCTGGGGCGCAAGGGTCGTCCAGAACCGCCGCTGGAGAGCCGAGGGATGGCCCGAGAGCCGGACGTCTTCGCGTCGTGGAGCAACCACTGCGGGGTGCTCTTTCTCCGCTTTCGGCCTCCAGGTCCCCTGCCGTGCCCCGAGGCCGTTGCAAAACCGCGGGATGAAGAAGGGCACGGGGGGAAGGGTTGAGTCATTGTCGTCATCGTCGTCAACGTCGTCACTGTTGCCATTGCAGATCTGACGCAGCATATGTGGTTCCAGCCTGGAGGGCTAGCAACGGCCAGTTTACCTTCCCAGGGGGGGAGGAGCCTTTAGCAGTTGTGCCCGCGAAGTCCAAAAAGAAGGAGGTGAAGGAGAGCCCGGGGAAAGGGTAGGAGGAGGAGGAGCAGGAGGAGGAGGAGGAGGAGCAGCAGGAGGAGCAGGAGGAGGAGGAGGAGGAGGAGGAGGAGGAGGAGGAGGAGAGCCCCCAGCCTTTCACCGATGTCGGAGGCTCGGGCCCTCCTCCTCCCTCGTACGCTCCGGTGGAGCCCAGCTGTCCACCGCGGAGGGCCTGGCCAGGCCCACACCCCGCGCCCAGGCTGGGGCTGCAGACGCTCCCCACGCGCTCCTGGCCAGGGGGGCGTGCAGGCGGTGTGCCCCGCTCCTGGGCGCAGGGATCGGCCTGGGACCTGGCCTGTTGGCGCACCCCGACACGTCAGCTGAAGAAGAAGAAGAAGAAGAAGAAAAAGAAAAAGAAGAAGAAACAACAACAAGAAACGGCATAAACAGAAACTTGTGGCGCTCCGCGCGGATTTTTTGGATGCGCGCTGGGCCCCCCCAGCGGCGCCTCTGGCGCCGCCCCTGGCGCGCTCCGCGCGCCAGAGAGGGGGGTCCAGCGCAGATCCAAGAAATCCGCGCAGAGCGCCGAAAGTTTATGTTTATACTTTTTCCCTTCTTCTAATCCATGTCAGTGGCCCTGTGGTGGAGTCGCTCCCCGCTTCGGTTGGCGCCTCTCCGAGCGTTGGGCCCCCGCCTGCAGGGTCCGTCATCGGGTGGGCCAGCTGGCCTTCAGCAGCGGCCCTCATGAGCCAGGTATGTTATGCCTCCTCTCCCTCCTCGCGTGATTCCCTTCGCCCCTCCCCCCTCCCCTTCTCTCTCACTGCCTTGCGCCGCTGTCATCCTTCATCCTGGCCCTTACCTCGAGCCCCCATCAGGCCGTGGTCCACCATGTGATTTGTAGCGTGCCGAACCACCAGGGCCTCTCGCCGCACACCACGCCGCGAAACGCGCAACGCGATCCACCAACCACCCAGAACAGCCGACGTCGCGTGAAAAAGCCTCAAGGCCGCGAAAAAACAACGCGGGCGGAGCTTCTGGCCTTACTTCTGCGCCCGATGGTCCGCGCCAAGTCGATCCACGATGGCCCGTGGGGAGAGCCCAAGTGGAGCGGAGACGCCCGTTTTTATTGGTATGTCACAACGCTTGGACGTCGAGGTCCGCTCCTCAGCATCTGCTCCAAACCAGCCCAGCCCGCAGGCCCCTTCCGGGCAGCATCCTGACCCGCTTCCCGAGCCGAGCTTTGCCGGATCGGATTTTCCCTCCCCCCTTCCTATTCTCTTGAGGTCTCTCGAGGCCCCGAGGGGCCACTGGAGGCCTCCAGCGTCCTCCAGACGCTCGACGGTGGCCAAGAACGTCCACACAATGCGAAAACTCCAGCTCTCCGTGTGGGCTCCTCCACGAGGGCCCCCGCACACGAAGCTAGATGCTGGAAAACAGCTTGCTTGCGATCTCCACTGAGGAGTAAGAGGAAGCGGAGAGAAGGAGGGGTGACGCAACACTCGATTCGGATGAGGGCTGGCAGGCAAGGAAAAGGGTGAAGGGCGTTGGATTCCCGCCGTCACGGTCCAACCACCCTCCGCACAGGCCGGGGACCGCTCAAGCCACAGCAGAGCTAGCAAACAGCACGACGGCACCAGCTGCTGCCTGCTACCCAAGCTGTGGCCTTAGCGGACCTCGCGACCAGCGAGAGCAGCTTCGAAGCGCCAGGACTGCACCGACGCCCTCTCCGCTTGGCCTTTGCAGTCCGCAAGGAGGCCCCGCCAGACAGGGGCCTCGATGGAGACACGGGCGCCGCAGCGGCGGCACGGCAGAAACTTGTCAGTGGGCTGCATAAGGTGGACCCGATATTCAAAGGCCTCGAGGGCCCGCCTATGCAGGCCAACATAGGTGAGACCTCTCGACAAGCACGTAAGACCGCATCACTTCGCGCCCTCGAGAGGAGACCATTGTGACGTTCGGCTCTCACAGCTGAGAGTAAAGGTGGAGCGGAGTCCGTTCGCACTTCGCCCCAGGCTGCTCTAACTTCGCTGGCGAGTGCGCAGTTTTGCCAGAGCAGCGTCACCACGTACATCTCACCCCCGCGCCTTCCGCAACCTCGAGGTCGTGGGAGAGGAGTGAGAGCTTAGGCACAACCATGGGGTTTCGGTTGCGCTTTTCAGACATGGAAGGAGGCTCAGCATGGCAGGCGACGAACTGAGCAGCATGACCTAAAAAAACGCACGTCTTCTTCACATCGCGCAAGTGTGCCTTCCGTGTAGCAGTGGCAAGATGGGCAACCGCATGCTGCCTCGCCCCTGGCTTAGCAAAGAAAATCGGCCGACAGATTGCCCAGAGAATCGAACACGGCAGTGTGCACGGGCCGATCCAGGCTCGAAGAACTAACACCGAACAAGAGGGAGTCGAGATCTCCGTGGGCAGGGGTTCAGCGAACAGAAGGGCGAGCCTCGGGCATTGTGCCCGCTGGGCACACCGGAAACATGTCTCGCCATATACATTCGTGCTTGTTGCTGCCCATGGCCAAATAGGTCGACCAGCTTTCTGTTTCACCCACTGCAGACAGGTGGTCGTTAATTATTTCCACCGTGCTCGGCCCGAGGCGGTCAACCTGCAATTACGCAAACCTTTCGGCCCGAGGAACCAGCGCTGGCACTGGGGAGAATTTACTTCTGGTTTAAAGACTTGGGCCTATGTGTGGGTCTGGCGGCGCCGTGCCCGCCGACGCCGCCCCGTCGCCGCCTCGTCGCCGCCCGTTGCTTGGCCTTCTGTGTCGGTCTGGCAGCTTTGTGCCGGCCATCGCCGCCCCGTCGCCGCACGTCATTTGGGCCTGCGCGTTGGTTTGGCGGCCCCGCGCTCGCCGTCGCCGCCCCGTCGCCGCGACAAGGACTGCGCCACATTGGTTCTCCTTTCAATAGACTCTACCCCTCCCGGAGTGAACGATCCCCCCTGGAGTATTGCGATTGCATATTTATTCTGCACACTCGTCCATCCTCAATATGAGCTCATAGTATCCCAGCCAGGCCAGTTTCACCCCCCCCCCGCCATCTTCTGCAGAAGATACTATGCGCGCACACTCTTTTATCAAAAATCATCAGTTGTCAAGAATCCCTTGCAACAAACTGAACGAAGTCCACACGCGCGCGTCGTCGCGCGCGCATGCCCAGATCCTTCAAAAACCGTTGGTTTCGGAAGGAATGTTAAATCGAGTGTCTCAAACACATACAAAAACACAGGGTTTCGCAACACGAATTTTCAAAAAAAAAAAAAAAAAAAAAAAAAAAAGGCGCGCGCTCTTGTAAAATCTTAAGAAAA